AACATTTAGCCATTCAACTTTTTTTTCGTGCAACCCTGCGTTGAGTTGAACGCAATTGTTGAACGCAAAGTTGAATAATGCAAACACTGCTGAAGCTGCTGGTTTCTGCTGGAAAAATTAGGTTTGTTCGTCGAGCAAAAAATTTGTACGAATTTGTACGAATTATTACGATTTTTGCCCAAATCGCGTTCGTGCAGACCAAAAAATTATCCAACACTCAAAAATTGTGAGAGCAAAGTGACAGTTCTCTTGGAGAGAAGTTGCAAATTCTTGCTGGAAAAAATTTTGCCAGCAAGAATTTGCAAACACGAAAAACATGTGGTTGTTGTTGTTTTAGCAGCATACAAATTCCCCAAAGACTTTTTGGGGAGTGTTGCTGGAGTGACAGTCCTTGGCCAGATATAAATCTGGGTCGTTCCGGTTACGTAGACCCGACTGTCGTGGGAACATGTGGTTGTGGCGCATGGTTCCATTTTTGTCTACAATAATTTGAATAAATTAGTTCGTTAAATTTAAAAATTTATAAACACGAAACAGCTGGTTGGCATTAACGCAAATCACAAAATTGAATTTGATGGTTTGGAAGTTAAAAATTACAAAATGCGACTAATTAAACTTGTAAGAAATAAGTAGTTATTTGTTTAATGAATAAACTGTGTCAGTATAACACTTTGTGATGGCTTTTCGTACGTTTTAAATTTTACACTTTTGAATGTAAACAAAAATTATGTTCATCTAATTTGCAAGTTTCTGCAAATTTTCTGTTCGCGTACTATTTGGGATATTTTTCTCTTGTGAGAGAACAGATGACATTTCGCCGGAATTTGGCAGTTGGTTGGTTTTTACTGGAGATTTGTGAACGAACGCACCTATAACCTCAAGGTGTTTTATGGTTTTATTGTTCCTTTATCCGTATTTTGTGGCTAAAATTTAGAGGATTTAAATTTTTTTTCCAACATGACCAACAGTACCTCTGCTTCTAGCACCTCAACGTCAACAAATACAAAACCAAAACAACATTGGAAATTAAAGACAAGGTGCGAGTGCTGTGTCTTCATGGATATCGCCAGAATGGTGACGCGACTGAGAAATAAACTGGGTTCATTCCGGTAAGTTCGCTAGCAAATACGCAGAGTTCGTATTCTGACAGCGCCACACCAAGCTGCTGCGCTAGAACCCGGTGCCGAACCAGTGCCAGAGCAACGCAGTTGGTGGGCAAATAAAGACGATGGTACCTTTAAGGGTACAAACAAAGGTGGACCGGCATTTGGGTTTCAAGAGAGTTTGCGTTTGGTTGAAGAAGCGTGGAAAATGCAAGGACCCTTTCAAGGAATTTTAGGATTTTCACAAGGGGCATGTTTTGTTGGACTAATATGCGGCTTAGCTAAAAAGAAATGTAAGTGCTCTCGTATCTAAATGAAATTATTAAAAATAGCAAATACAATTTTAAATTTTGCAGTAACATCCTATACGCCCCGATTTCGCTATACTATCTCCGGGTTTATTTCGGGGAGCTTAGTGCATAAAAGTGCTTACGAAGAGGCAATTTCAATACCTACGCTGCACATATACGGTCAAACGGACGATATCATACCCAAGGTGATGAGTCAAGATTTGGCCGCGAGCTTCAAGCATGCCGAAATATTGGAACACCCAGGAGGGCACTACTTCCCGGCGACGGCACAACAAAAGCAAACCTATATCAACTTTTTCCAAGACCGATTACAAGAGTACTTAGAAAACTTGGAGTTGCAGCAATCGACCAATGCTACGTTTGTAGAAGCAGCAGATCAACATAGCACTGCCGTAAGCAGTGGCAGCGAAGACACTGATTAGAAGCTATCAAGAAGGGAGATAATTGGCGAATTTTTTTTCTGCAGTGACACGACATTACAATGTATTTTCCACTCGATTTTTTTAATATTTAAATCTTATTACAATTATGTTAATTAATTAATAAAATTAACCGATATAGTAATTCATAAAGGTGTTTTCTGGTTCACCGATTCTGCTTATCGCTTCTCCATTTACGCTCTTTGTATTCACTTTGCATTGTCATATCGTCGAGATTTTCGTAAGGCTTTACAATACAATTTTTAAATGCGCTTTTCATTTAAATTTTCATTGTTTTTTGTTATATTTAAGGGACTGGTAAATAAGTGGAAGTAATAATAAATAATACACAAGTGTAACTTTGTGTGAATTGATTTAGTGACCCTAAAGTTGTGTTGAATGAATTACATTTATATGTACGCACTTCTGCGGTGTTTGTAAATCTGTACATAATGGTAATTTAGAGATTTTCAAAAGTCTTTATATGTAGCTTTTGCTGTTGGTGAATTTTGAGGCCACTCACTAACTGCTTTAATCAAGGCTTGGCGGAGTGAAGCGCAAATCTTTAGCTATTTGTAAGCTTGTTTTAATATTAACAACATACAAAATTTGCAATCAAACAAAACAATGATAAAAAAGTTTTCACAACGTAAAAATGTTGGATATGTAACAGTAGGACTGAATCCAATAAAATTAAATTTGAAGATTTAATATTGAACTTTTTTGTTGGCCAAAAATTTGCTGTTGAGTTAAAAAATAATATTAGTAAGAAACATGTTTAAAAAGAGTTACATAATTACTTGATTCCTTTCCAATTATTTGGTTTGGATTTTTTTTTGCTCAATTGCTGTATTTTTACATTTGCGCAAATTACTTAAAATGATACGCATTTCACAAAAGTACCTATTGTGATAAAGAAAGCATTTAACTAAATTATTCACTTATCGCCGAAGCTCAAAAATGAGTCGATATTATATTCATAATTTTAATAATTTCTTATATAAAATATGCATTTCCTGCGTGCATTTTTATAGATGTAGTATGTATTTCGGCTGGTCTGTTTTATTACTGTAGTTGTTTGTTGCCGCAGTTCTATATACGTATTTATTTGCATTTGGATTTTCTTTATGCAACTTGTTCTTGCCCGTTAGCTGCCTCTTGATTTTTCATAACTTCAGGTAGATCTGGTGGCGATGAGTACGGCGTAATTTCGAGCGGCTCGAAATCTCCATGTTCGTCTCTGTGGAATAAATGAAGGCTTTAGCATGATAAAAGGGTCCAAAGGTATATTTAATTCAGTAAAAGTGTATTTTTAAGTGAAGAGGGGTATTTCAAAGAAGACATTTATGTGTGAGTTAAATATATGACGCGTGGACATAACTAAAACGCTTCGGAATATAAAACATACAGTCAAAAATCAAAGAAAATATTGTAAGTATATGTATAATATACATATTATATAGGTGTACATATATGTATATGAACTTGTACACTGGTTAATTAAAATTAGTATTAATACAAATATATTTTAAGCAATTTAATTGTGTTCATATTCATATGCAGTGATATGAGCGTAAGTTTTTAAACAGACGCCCATCATCATATGTAAATAAAAAATTTCAAGATAAACTAATAATAGATTTTCTCATATTTCTAGGTACTATAACTGATACATGTAGTAACAAAAATTTTACCTTAGTGCTAGTCCTAACTGTGCCGGGGCTTGCGCCTTTGCTGTAGACATCTGAATGCCGTAATCTTGAAGAGTGTTGTCGTCTTCCATCACTTCGTTGTCTTGATTGTACAGTTTCTGTTCGTGTGGACGCACTTTTAGGATGCCTGTTGTGAATGCGTTTATAACCAGCAATGGGAAGATTGATATTAATTATTATTAACATTTGTTCCAATCCAATTGCTTACCTTCGATCATACGCTTTAGTTCTGCGACGGTTGTGTTCTCCTTGGCATCGGTAAAAATTGTGGTTTTATGTCTTCGAATCATAAGGAATACATCCTGCACACGTCATGAAATCGTATTATTAGTAAATAAATGCAAGTAATATATTGGTCAAAGTTCATTCTACGGCGGCCGCATAGACATATCGTAGAGCGTAAGCGTTGGCAGTGACAACGCAGACGTCGACGTCAAGCCTTAAGCGACGACATTGACAGAGGCAGCAGCTGATTAGCAAAGCATTGTTGTTGTTATGCTATTACTTTTACGGCTGCTGCTGTTTCTATCTCCGCCGCAGGCTAGATTCATCCTTACCGCAACCACGTTACCCCGATATCATTGAGGGACTTACCATTTCGAGTGATTTATGCTTTTATTGCTTCTACTGCAGGTGAAAAATGTAACTTATTGTTTGATGACTACGATACTGCTACGTATGCTACTCAGCGGCACGACCTTGTCTTGACTATTTCGACACAAACACCTCAACGTCTACACAGCGGCACTGCACACTGCACGTAATTTTGCTATACTTTTTCCGCTAAGACGGTCAGCACTCAGGGTCACTTCCACAGGCACGAAAATTAATTATTAGAGATACTCGCGTGTGTTGAGGTCCTGCGAAGATATGAAATCTCTTTGCCTCGCTCACTGTTTGTTCTGTCAAACGCTAAGCGCCTGAACTGCGAAATTTTAAAAATCACGCTTTGGTGTTAGGAGTATAAAAATATAAAGAACTTCTTTTTAGTCTTCTTCTTCCAATTTTTGGTCTTTTATTTTTTTCCTTCACGATTTGTTAAATGCCGAAAAAGCACAAAATCCAAACGTCAATTCCAGCAATGACAAATGATGCGCAGCCGAGCATGTTCACTACAAAGATAACGAACGTCAAAATCGCGAAATGGATGAAGAATGTCAGAACAGGGATAGATCACAAAACTTCCACTGGAAGTCACTACCGGACGTCACTGGAATGCACTACCTGAAGTATAGGGTGATCCGCGAAAGATTTGTGGATTCTGATTACGATGTATGTTCAGTGCATAATAGCGCTGACAGACATATCGCACACCGTCTTCAAAATAGCCTCAACTCAAAATTTGACATTTTTGAGATTATGCGCTAAAAATATACACAGAGCATTTATTTACCTTTCAGAAAAAGCTGAAGGAAATTTTCGTTAAAAAAGTCGCCTTGGCCAGATGATTAGCATGTGTTACGAAATAGTTTTTGGTATTTCTGACGAACGTATTGTTTTGAAGACGATGTGCGATTTGGTTTGCACACAATGGTATGCATGGGATATCGCGAATATTTGCATTCGCATTCGTTATGCGAATGATTCGTATCAACTTACGCACTTGCATTCGACATTCGCATCCAATGATACGAACGTTTTGCGAATGCGAATGTGTACATGGACAGAGAGCCCGCACTAATATTATGGCTATCGTGCTTGAAACACAATACCCGGCGAACGGCAAATTTCGCCCAGCAGAGCGATGCCGACGACCAACTTTCGTCCAGCTAATTCGCTGACTGAAACACAAATAGAGCGGTTCGAATGCTGTCAGCTGATAAGGTGACCATGTTTCAAGAAGGAAGCTTTTACAACGAAGAGGGAAAATACCAGCAAGAAGAAGTTTAAAATACAGAAATAGTCTTTAAATATAACTACTAGTAAACTTACGTTTTACTAGATTAATCTCTGATAGAAAAATATAAGGTATATTATTTTAATTTTAAACAAAAATTACGATAACTTTTAAAGTATGGTCATCATGGCCTTTTTTTGTCGTTGCCGTTGACCGCGGCGATAGAAATAAATCTATCGTCGCGAACAGTCGTCGAGCAAACTTCGTCATTTGCTTTGATTGTGCGCGTTCTCATATAAATCAGTGTGTTTTAATTATTTCGGCAAACATTCGCGACGAAAAATTTGCAGTTTGCCGGTGTTGTGCTTCAGCTTTTAAGTCTGTCTAACCAGGGTTCGGACAATAACCGGTTTTAGCTTCAGGCGCTAAATGGGTACTGCTAAAAGTCTTATAATCAACCTAGAAATAATTTTAGATTCCTCCAGCGAAAGCCAAGGCGCGGATGAAGAATCTGGAGACATTAAAAAAATGTGAAAAGCTCAATTGAAGGCCTATCTTAAAGAAAAACGAGCTCATATCGGTGAAAATCCTCTCGATAGGTGGAAAACTAAACTAAAATACGACAAACTGACATATGTATCTGGCCTGCAAATATTTGAGCGCTCCACCCGCCACCGTTTCAAGTGAGCAATTGTTCAGTGCAGCCGGCCTTATATACGAGCCTCTAAAAACCTGATTATGGCAACTTGACCTAATGTAGAGCGTAAAAACCAAAATGAAACAGATTCGACGTTGGATTAAGTTACGTTAAGTTTCGGCTGTTCAATTATAAGCAACATTGATTTAAGATTATGTTTAAGTGAGAGCCAGTAAGTTACGTTAAGTTGCCATAATCAGACCATAAGAAATCGCCTCAAGCAAAATTACTGCCATACCTAAACAAAAGCGTCAGTGTTGTCTGGCTGTAAAAAAATTCTCATGCCCATACAATTTGTATGAAGCATACCGAAACAACGCGGCGTCAACGCCGAGCTGTTGGAAAATCCGATTATGACAGGGCGTTAGGTATTGAAGTTGGCTGCAGAAAAAAGCGAAACTGTCATTGTTGTGTTACACACAAACAAGCCTATGCCTATTGTTGGTGTTATTTATGCATTTGACGTAGCGTTGACGCTTTTGTTTAGGCATGGCACTTCGGCGCTAACGCTAGGCGTCAGAAACCGCCCCGCCCACCGCTTTTGTTTAGGTATGGCAGTTACTTTTTTTTTTTAAATATAATATGCCCCTTTTGAACTTTGACTTCTAAATTACAACATTGTATAGGTTAAGCACTCGTTCAATGCTCTAATAATTTCCAAAATTGTTAAATAATAAAAACGATGACTTAAGTTGATTTTAGCTTTTTTAATGTTATTCCAAATATTCGCATTCGCAGATTCGCATTCCGAAAATTCGCATTCGCCTTCGCGAATGTGAAATACAGGACATTCGAAACATCTCTAGTATGCATACATTAGCTCTGATCCAATACTTTTCGTGAAAAATCCTGTAAAACTGTCAAACAGCAAAATTACTCTCTGAAGTGAGAGTAAAAAGTAAGTACGGTGTTCCGGGTTAGCAAAGTCAGCAGGTTTATCGATAGAGATGATTATGGTCTGATGGTCCGATGCTAACTGCAACATTGGTCGCCACGTTATGTTGTTTATCACACCAGCGCTAAGTAATTAGTCTGTTCCTTTGAACTTCGGACTAAAACCTGTGGAACTGTCAAACTACAATTTTACTCTCTCAAATGAGAGTAAAAGGAGAACAGATGCAGAAGTGCATAGGAACGCAAAAAGCACTATTTCCTGTAAAAACGTCAGTCGGTTTGTTTACATGTCATTTGTACAACACTGATTTAGCTGAAATATCACTAAATAATTATTAAAATCTATACATATTCAAACATTTCGTTGTTTACTTCCATTTTTTTACAAATATAAGGTACTTTGCTTTCACCGCTGTTAGTTTTTGCTTGCACATGCAAATCAGCTGATCGTTTGACACTTTTCATGAACTTACAGGAAAAGAAACTCGGGACTAAATCCTGTAACTTCTGACTAGGAACAGTTGCTCAGTTACTCTCTCAAATGTGTTCCCACTTACAGGTTTTATGTCAATAGGAACGACATCCTGTAAGTTCTGACTAATTCCTGTAAACCGGACTGCTATTGGAACAGACTAATTGTTATCTCACGCGAACTGCTGCGGCAGCCTATGTATAATCCTTGTGGGTTGGTCGTCGTTCATTGCGCAGAATGTCCATTCGTCTATCTGCTCAGTCAAGTGTATTCGCCTACGAACATTCGACATACTTGAAAACCAAAGATCGTGGTGCGCGTTGATATCACCAATTACCATACGGTTTTCTCCTATGAGGAGCGCACCTTAATATATCATGGTGATATCCTGTCAGACAGCTGGTGACTGCGGGTATATACTGCACGGTGTGGTACGCGATGATCACTATTGGTTTTACTCGGTTTTTGAAAAATTAAGATCTAAAAAACCCGGTTAAAACCGGCATGGAATAACCAAGTCAATCACCCCAGTTGCCAAGGAAAGTACGACTACATTAAACAGATCAGAAACTGATCATTGAGTACGAGGAGCATTGTTGATGAACACCACAAACTTGAACACCTATTTTGGCGGCAACCTGCGCCCAGGAGACTAATCTGGGGACCTCCAAGGGTAAGATAATAGCAGAGGCTATATTCCACTTTCAGAGCCACTTTAAAGGCTTGCGATGCCAGCAGGAAATGCCACTTAGAATGCCAATGAGTAGCCCAGCGTCCTCCCTCTTGAGGGATAGGAGAAACTTAGTGACCTTGATGTGATACATTCTGTACATAATTCAGGACACTTTGCAACCCTGTTTTGTGGTCCACACCTTTTGCGCTTTCCGGGGCATGGACAGGTCGAGCTCCTATTTAATCGCTTGGAAGAAAATCGGCACTTTCTCTATCAACAAAGTTTCCGACAGAGCGCCTTCTCTGGCAAGCCTGTCGACCTGCTCGACACCGGTGTGAACCGAAGGCCAGCATATGTACGTCTGTTCTACTATGTAGCGCATCTAAAGTTGCCCTGCACTCCACCACACTTCTTGGGGAAGTGCTTTGAAATATTATAGCTTTTATTGCAGTTTGGTTATGGCTTATACTTCTGCCTGGAAAATGCCTTTCTCCATCTTCGACTAGGACTTGCACACATACTGACCCGTAGTTTTGAACGCTGTATTCTTGGTCTACAGGTCCGCCGGGGAGAGATCCAACAAGGTGTAAAGTGCTACCGTTAGCGTAGTGCTAAGCGCTGCTCTCATAACGATCACGGATATCCTATATACACTTTCTATTTTTTAAGAAATGTTTTCTTCTCCATTGGCTACTAAACCAATACCCCCCAAACCATTGAGTAATTTCAGAAGAACCACGTTTTGAAGCATCTCTGGCGCTTTAAGGACACCCCAAGCAAGGCGATAGAAGTGATAAAAAATCTACACACCCGCTGTAAATATGGTAAGAAAACACGTGGCCGCTGCGGTGCTCAGAATAAAAAGTGAGGTCCTATGGAAGAATCGACGGGTTTGGCTATGCTTCTGTACTTGACACTCTAGATAGTTATGATCAAGAAATCGACTACTCCACCACCTTCAACAAGCTCTTCCAGAAAAAAATTCAAGAAAAGAGTGGAAAACACCGAGCCCATGGAGAAGGGGGAATTAAATTTTTACGCGGATAGATATAAGCTAAACAAAATGGTTGGCTATGGAGTTTTCTCTGGGGAATTAGGATTGGAATTATCCGTGGGAATTCCGGAGTACTGGACTAAGCACATTCCATTTTACGCAGAACGGTAGCAAAGTACCACTGAAGAAAAAAATGTACCCGTTTTAGGACGTAGTAAAGTACCAAAAGTGCAAACCGTGTCTACCAAAGCAAAATTTTACTTCCAATAGCACAAATGTAAATCGAATAGCTCTCCTTCCAAAGGAAATTGGAAGTCTTAGAAAATGTACATTGGCGTTGTATCGATCATTCGATATCCATTCAGTATTTACTGTACTACAGTGGACAATGAGTTAGGTCTAGTTCACCTATGTACATATGAAGCAAAACTTAGCAATTAGCTCGATGCGCTCACACATAAATAAGCGCTTTGCCTTAAACTGTACAATGTATGTATGTATATTAAGGACACTTGAACGAGTGCTTGCTTTATTGTATTGGGCAGTGCAGCAAATTG